GTGTCTGTGTGTGTGTGTGTCTGTGTGTGTGTGTCTGTGTGTGTGTCTGTGTGTGTGTCTGTGTGTGTGTCTGTGTGTGTGTCTGTGTGAGTGTCTGTGTGAGTGTCTGTGTGTGTGTCTCTGTGTGTCTCTGTGTGTCTGTGTGTGTCTGTGTGTGTGTGTCTGTGTGTGTGTCTGTGTGTGTGTCTGTGTGTGTGTGTCTGTGTGTCTCTGTGTGTCTGTGTGTGTCTGTGTCTGTGTGTCTGTGTGTGTATGTGTGTGTGTCTGTGTGTCTGTGTGTGTCTGTGTGTGTGTGTGTGTCTGTGTGTGTATGTGTGTGTCTGTGTGTGTGTCTGTGTTGAGAGCATCGCGCATGCGTGGAGGGGTGGGGGGAAGATCTCCACAATCCGGAACAGACACAGAGTAGGGCAAGCAGGAGTTATAGGCTATAAACATCAGATACCCTCAGAATAAGAGTCCTGGGATCCTCACCAGCCAGATTCTGAGGCTAGCCTATTTCGAGATCCTACCTGATGCCCAGTTCCAGACTATTTTTCAAAACGTATTGTGTGAAGAACGAGACATCTCCTGGCCTAAGTGTTCAACATTCCACACACCGAACCAGGACAATTTGAAACTCATAAGCTTGAAAACCCAAGATAACTTAGTTAAATCCCCTTCGTCTTTGTCGATCATTTTTAAAGAATATAAATCAGATTCCTTCTACCTGAGTCAGCCCAAGACCTCCCAGCAGAGCCTGCAAAACCCCACACCAGCGTCTGTCTCCACCTGACCTTCAATTGACCTCGGTCCCAACTGCCCAAGTCAGACACTCCCCCGTATGACACTGCATTTGAGGTCCTCTCTGCCATCTATAACGATGTCCTGCTAGAAGTCTGCATGACTCATCCCCTATTTCATACCGGGTTGATCCTCCTCCTCCACATTCTCCAGGCTTTATCTCTTCACAGCAAGAACTTACCTTAGCTGATACCACATACAGGTTATTGTTTTTGTGTTGTCTTTCTACCCCGGAGAAGATGTAAGCACCCCAAGGCCCAGGACGTTATCTTTTCATTGTGAGCCGGTTGAAAGACAATCACTAAATGTCTGTTGAATGAATGCATGACCTAGCAAATGTGGACACATAAGAAGGGTTCTACTGGTGTCTGTCCTTTGACCATTTCGTTCAATATGTATTGTAGTGCACTTGGCTGCACCCACCGGGTGGGGTTTCGGTATTGTGATTTATTATCAGAAGAGAGGAGATTGGCATAGACGGCCAGATCCAGGCATAGATGGAAGGGAAAGGGGCCATCCAGCCCCATACAGTCTTCTCCCTTTCTCTGGTGGCCAGTGGACATCATGCCAGCCGGGTCACCACAGAGGTGCTGCCCCGAAGGGGTAACCCGTCCACCCTTTCATTTTTCTGGATGTACGTCTCCCAGATGTGGGAAGGTGGGAGCTACGTTCACACCCGCGTCCCTCTAGCTTCCAGAGAGCAGGAGTAGCTGGGAAATTTCCCGTCTGCCCCAGCTCCGGAGCAGCCTGGGTTTCCGGAGATCACCCACTGGGATCATCCGCCTGGGCACCCGGAGGAATGACTCCGTTATGTGATGGCCCACAGAGAGCGGAGGTGGAGGGGACCCGAGGACACAGTAGCCAAGTTACTGGGGGGGATGAGGAGGCTGATTTGCACAGGGTAACAGGGTCCTGAGGCAGAAGGATGGCAGAGGGCAGCCGCCTCCCAACGGATTCATTGAGAGCCACTCAGGGAGCTGCCCCACCCCCACGCCTAGCCCAGCTTTGTGCCCCCTGAGTAACAAGTAAGCAATTACGGACGCTACCAGAGCCGAGAGCGCACAAGGGCGTTCACATACTCCGGGAAGGAGGTTGGGTGCAGGCGTTTCACGATATACAGAGTGTTTAGACCGGAAGATTTAAGTTGGGAAGAGGCGGTCCACGCACCAGCACTTGGGGGAGGGGAGGCAGAGGCGGGCGGATCTCTGTGAGTTGGAGGCTAGCCTGATCTACATAGTAAGTTCCAGGACACCCAGGGCTACACAGTAAGACCCTGGACCAGAGAG